GTAATTAGGTAAGTCCTTATTAATGAGAGTTTGTTTAATGTCTTAAAATTTAAAAAAAAAAAAAGAATTGCAGGTTGAGTATTTTTAAAACATTAACAACAAAAAATTAAACTAAGTTATCTCCCTTACATATTCTTAACGTAAAATGATTATAACGGGGCGTGTTTCATGCACATTTACAAAAAAATCGCAAATATCGATTACATTAATTTTTGTCTTAGCAATTCACCCCTGAAGAGGATATTTTATGAGATTGAAAGTACTTGTGAAAATAAAAGAAATAACCGAAACTATGGTGTCTTTCTTAATCAGTTTTGTAACATCACTAAGAAATTCATCCGTGAATTTGGGAGGATTAAAATAAAAATATCTTGACATAATGTGTCAAGATTATTCAACCAAACATGCTTGAATGAAGATATGCTGCCTAAACACACACACACACACACACACACACACACACACACACACACACACACACACACACACACACACATATATATATATATTATATTATATTATATTATATTAAAAATGAATCATGACCACCGCTAGTTTGAATTAATATGAATTTGTACGCTTGTACATCGATAAGACTATAGCATGATAACAAAAATATTCATTTTACCGAAAAAATATTTTTCCATAAAATTTCCTTCCTTCTTGACCTAATTAATTTTTCGTTTATCACGTAAATGAAACAATATTCAGTGAGAATTTTCGATCAAATGTTAGTTGGTAAGTCTGTAATTTTACATATTTATTGATTCATCCTCGTATTTTCAGTCGAAAGATTTTCGTTTTAATCATTTCAACAAGTTTCAACAGCTTTGGAAAATATTTTGTTTACTTATCATAATCAACATTTCAAGAAAGATTGCCTAGAAGAACAATTTCGATAAATATTTCTCATATTTTTCAGATAAAGCATTTAGGAAGCCTGTACGAACCTGAAATTATTATTTTTTTTTTGAGAAGTAAACTTGTTGCCAGTGTTTTAAATATCCGCTGATACTCTTAACCCAGCTGTGGTGTATTTTCTTTTGCACAGCTGAGATTAAATAAAATTGGCTTTAGAATATTTAAGTGTTAATACTTTTACTTTTTTACCGCCCATCCCCATCCTCAAGCGATTTGCGCAAAGGTTTATTAACCAAGTATTTTTTTTTCTTGAACAGGTGTTCGGCGAGGAACAGTGAAGAGAAGAACATAATAGAAAGGTAAAATAAAGAAGATTATAATCAATCATTCAGTATTTTTCAATAGTCAAAGTATATCTAAGGCCTACCTTGAACATTTATTGAATCCAAAGTTCACTGCAGACCTTATGGAACTCGTCTATATGATCATCTAATATGAGACATGGCTAAAGATGATGGAAAATTGGTTGGTTCTTTATATCGTCTCTGAAAGTGCCTGGCTTCTTTTGCAACGCCCTATCAGACGAAAAAATGAATTATTGTTGACCCAATCCTCATTCTCCAGCCTTGACGGAGTTCAAAAGAGTTTACACGGCTTTGCGGGCGATTAATTATTTTCCTCCCCACGGTCCCATTCCTACGAAGGAAACGTTGCAAGCCTACCATTACTCTATGGCGATTTCCACGGCAAATGTTCAAACGAGCTTAGTTCCACCAGTTTACAGGTAGAACATTCTATGCGATGTACGCATGCTCGAAGCATCTTCATTCCCTACATATTCCATTGGTAAGGAGGAAGTTCCACGCAGGTTCTTCAGGTGAACCGCTACTTTGGGGAACAGACACTCTAGAGCAGTGGTTCCTAAATGTTCCGGCGGAATGATTGAAAGACAGTCAAAGATTTAGAAACAGTTTCAAAAATTCATATACCAAACATTTATAATATTTCAAATTTTAAAATATTATTATGGATTACTTGTAATTGTATACATGAGTCCCAGTATAAATAGTTATAAATAATTATACTTTGGATTTTATTGTTTATTATATATATATATATATATATATATAATTATTATTGTTATTATTCTAGATGTTATTTTGGTACCCATGCTTGAACAGGCGCCATTTTTTAAAAAGTGAATTACGTCTGCTTAGGTGATTTTTAAGGGCTGATTTAGGCTTTCTTTTTGGATCGTCGTTAGTTATCATGATGTGTAATTACGGTAGTGAAAATGAGAAGGCCTGGAGTAGAAAATGCAGACGATTATCGGCAGTGAGAAGTTGGCACAGACTGCAACGTAATGTGGCCTCACGGTTGCTCACCAGAGGTGAATGCAGGGACACCTTTCCATGCGCGACATGGCACTACAGACACCCCGGTATTATACAACTGTTGATCAGAACAGCCGCTCAAGACGCTACGCGATAGTTAGGGCTCCTAACTACCAGTCGGAAATAGCAACAGAAAACTGTCAACTGTGTACCCTCAGAATGAAGAGGTAATGCCACAAACTGCACACATCACGGGAGAAACACGGCAGCACTAGTACCGAGGTCAGAGAGAAGGAGAGGGAGAGTTCTGGGAACCCCTTCCTAAACAAGAAACAAGGTGTGAGCCTCTACTCTTGACACAAAGGCCAGTAAATGTTGTTTAATACTGTTTATTATAAACAGAGCATTTACTTAAATATTTGTATCTATAAAAAGAACGTATAAACATAAAAAATGTCTTAAAATAATTGTCGGACTTTGTCCATTTAATAGTGTCTGACGTCATTTGTTTACATTTGGATACGCTTTGAGTATATATGAATGTACGTGAGAGATTCATGGAAGACTGTAGTTTAAAAGCAGTAAAATCGAGCTTGCTAATCAAACGATCCTCTGTGGCTCGGTTAAGACACGTCAAGCTATATGACGGTTCCGTATAGGATAAAGGTTCGATTCCTGTTGGAAGACAAATATTTCTCCGACATTCAGGTCAGTAAATGTTATTAATACTGTTTATTATAAACAGAGCATTTACTTAAATATTTGTATCTATAAAAAATGTATAAACATAAAAATGTCTTGAAATAATATATATATATATATATTCAGTTGTATGGATATTAGTTTGTGACCATGGCTTTCACGCTTTTGCGATCATCAGACAAACTCTGCTTGATGTCTGATCAATGTGTAAATTTGGGTCTGAAGTTGGGATCAAATAGAGGCTAAATATGAAATCGGAATGGAACAGGTTGATAAAATAAAGAACAAATAGGAAACGTTTATCAATCTAACATGTTTCATATTTATTAAAACTTCATGAGAAAATGAGATATGGAAAAAAAGATGAAGAAAATATTATTGCCTTTGTATTGTTTGATTTTTATTGATTAATCATGTTTCACATGCATTTAACTTGTTAAATAGACGTTAGTATAATTTGTGGCGATTCTGAATTTAAAGTTCTAAGAAATTAACAGATTCCAAGCCCAACTGAAAAACCGTAAATATTGCTTTATGTATGTATGCGTAAAATAATTCTAGTTTGTCTATGTGAGATTCAGATCTTAATGTATTTTCGTGTGTGTATTTGTGTGTATGTGTGCGTGTATTTGTGTGTGTGTGTTTGTGGGCTTGTGTTTGTATGTGTGTGTGAGTGTGCCTGTTTATGTCTTGTAGACATTATGTTTGATTGATTTGGGAACGTATTTGCGTACATATAGTGTATCTTATGTAAACATACGTTAGATTCTTTAAGAATTGATTCAATAAAGATTGGTGATATAATAATAATGTTTTTGACGGGTGTTTATACTTGGTAATATTTTTATTAGTACTCCCTCGAAGTACTTTCGACGTAAAGAATTATATGGCATTTGTGAAGTTATGTCCAGTTTTGTTCCTGTCTATCACGAGAGTGTTTGAATAGTTGTCTAAACGTAAATCTCATTTATGCTCGTAGCTACGGGCTTTTATAGATCGTGATGTCTCTCTGATATATAAATGCTTTTACATTGTAAGAAATTTATTTGATAATTATCGGCATCTGAAATGATGTTAGAATTATTTTTCCTCCTAATTATATCTTCTATTGTCTTGGACGTGGTGTTAATGATCCTAGTATTAAGGATAACTAATTTATTTACAGTTTTTATAGAAACAGCGTAAGGACATAAGATTATGTATGTTGTGTTGTTGTTGTTGTTAGAAGTGCTTTTTTTCTTTTTCTCTACATTTCAATATCTAATGAAGCTTTGATAAAAGTGAAACATGTTAGATTGATAAACATTTTCTATTTGTTCTTTATCTCATCTATCTATCTATATATATATATATTCGCCCGAAATTAAAGAATCTATACGAAGTTTAGAACGGCTCATGATCACACATAATACATTCGTTGTTTGTTATATTTAACAATATATATATATATATATATATATATATATATCGAGTTTGTCTGACGATCGCAAATAGCGTGAAACCCAGGATGACAAATAGATCAATCCAATTAAATATGTTAGCTCTATCACTGGTATTGATCGCCTTCCAATAAGTACCGCGCATATATAATATATAAATAATATATATAAAATTGCATATACCTATATATATATATATATATATATATATATATATATATATATATATATATATATCTTACCTCACTTTCCTTATTTTTACCAGTTTTCATTGGCAATCCATACCTCATTTTTTAAATCTAAAATTTCTTTTAATATAATTTTTCACCCAGTACAAGTCTCAAGAACCACTCAAGATAGAGTGTTACTCTATGAGGTTGTTGTATGAGCGTAAAAGGTGGGTTGATTGATTTGTTTATTTTTTCCGGCTTATTAACATTTTGCAGGTTATTTAAAGCCAGAAAATATTTTTAATCTGTAAGACTTTTGGGGAGATAGTAGCCAGATCTTAATAATTAATCCATAGCTGGGGGAAAGAAAAGGTGGATGTATACGTTGATCAAGAGAATTTGCAAGTAAGTGAATATAAAGAAACTGACTGGAATTGGAACTCCACTCTCCATATTTACAATTCCGAGCCGTTATCCATTACACCGCCCGCACATCAGCATTCCAAACCGGTCACCCATTTAAATACTGAGCAAGCTCTACGCTGCTTAACATCAGCGATCGTACGAGAACCGCTGTTTCAACGTGATATGGCCGTAAGCTATAACACCCGTACACCCAAGCTGGCAGTCACCATTCTAGGTGCTGACCAGGCTCGACCGAGGTTAACTTCCGTGAAGGTGTGTAGACTTGAAGAGGTTCCCAATCACTGCAAGCTTAGAATATGGCAGTATATATATTTTTTTTCTTTAAATCGATTTCACAGCAAGCAAAGCAGTAAAGCCAATAAGACACAAGTGGTTACTAGGAGTGGAAGAAATAGGAACAGGACATTACTAAGGAACGAAAAGAGAAAAGAGTAATCAGGAGGACAGTAGATTGCGATTAACATTGCATTTAAATGCTTGCAGATTCAAGTTGGCTGAAAAGCATGCAGCCGGAACGGAGTTCCACAAGCGAGAAGTGCGAGAAAAGAAACTTTTAACATAGAACCTACGGTTACATCTAGCGACTTGAACTGTAAATTGATGAGATCTTGACACGAGTCTAGTACTTCTCTTAAATTAAAAATTCTAGGTACAATGCGAAGAGCTCAACCAAACAATTACCATGAAAGTATTTATAGAAAAGGCACAGAGAGGCAACCTTACGGTGGTGGGAAAGTGACTGAAACCGAATTGCCAGATCAGGACCGATAATATTGCTGATTTTTCTTTGGATCTTATCAAGGTAAAGAGCAGAATCACCGGTCCATATGTAGCGGCAATATTCTAAGCATGGAGAGAAAAATTGTCACTCACGAACCAACTTTCTTAGCAGCTGATCTAGCAATGAATTCAATATAATCTTTCCACTTCATGTCAGCGAAGATCGTTAGCCCTAGAAGGCGCAACGAGTCGTTTTCCGGGAGGTTAGCATCAGCCATGCTGATGGAAAGAACGGAGGGGGTCTCTCAGATGATTAATGGCGAGAGAGGTTATGGCAGATATGTTATAGAAACATGCATTCATATACGAAAATGAGTAAGGACTGCACCGACATTTTTACTGTCTCCTTTCTTATACATTTCTCTTGCTCTATTTCTCCATAAAAATTTTAAAATTATATTGTAATTTTTACGCCTTTCTATATGAACCTACCTTTCAATCTTTTCCTATTTCTCTCTTGATAACCACTCAACAAACCTGTCCCCCTCTGTTTTTTTTTTTGCACTATCGCCATTCTTGTTATATATATATATATATATATATATATATATATATATATATATATATATATATATATGGATAGATAGATGAGTTTAGGACCCTGGGTTTCACGCTTTAGCGATCGTGAAACCCAAGGTCACAAACTCACATCTATCCAACCAAATATGTTAGCTCTATCTCTGATATTAAGCGCTTTCTAATAAGTACCGCATATAATATATAAATAATTATACATATATATATTTATTTATATTTATATACACTTTTCACACACACACACACACACACACACACACACACACATATATATATATATATATATAAAACTCTTCCTGATTTAATTTTTATATGTCTTTTTTCTTAAGTTTTTTCACCTCCTATCTTTTCTCCTTCAAATCCACTTTCTGCCTTTTCCTATCTTTTCCTAATTCTTTCTGCTGAATATTATGTATATTAAACTGATACTACGCTTTGATCATTAAGTAGAAAAACGTAAAGATCGTATATAGAACAAGCAGATTAATATTATAGATGATATTAGCGACTGGTTCAATAAGTTCATTCAGTCTGTCACCGTATATGATGGCATAAAAGACACATCCCCATTTCAGTAGAACATATTCAGGAAAAATGTTAATGCATTTAAACATGTGATGTAGGCAAGCTAACAAATAACTTAAGTTATAACAAAAATCATTATTGTATATAAAAAGCAAGCAAGCTAGCAGTAGAGCTGAATTAAAAATTCCTTCTTATTCTCAACACATTCACTGACTTTCCCCGAAAATTCAGATTTTTAATCAATTCACCTCAAGCAAAGCGATAATGCCACTAAGACGCTACTGAGAGTGAAAGAGAATGAATCCTAAACAGGAAACAAGGGATAGACCTCTACTCCTGTTCAAAAGACCGAGGCGGAGTGTGCAGACTCTTATCTCTTACATTTACTCTTATAGCTCACACAACAAACTCCTTCAATAACTCTCTACCTCGAGTGGATCTTGAGTCTTGTAAAGGGTGAACATTAGTAACAAAAAAAAATCTTGAAGCGTGACGAATGTCTTTGTTCTTGGTCTTCTTACTCGAATAATGAATTGAAAAGAGATGCAAAACAATTCGTAGATTGGTGAACGTGTCAAAATGAAAAAAAGAAAACTCGTTTCGTTTTTGAAATTTTAATTTTATTTAATATTATTATTTTTTTTTATGTTACTTTTCATAATATTCAATATAAACAACATGTGAAAACAATATTTCGTCATTTTTTAAAAACAAAATAATGTTTAACCCTCGATTCAGGCTTCAACCAATTTCTGTTGGCTTCGATTGAGGGAAATTGAGTTATTCATGGGTTTCCGATTCGCACTTTGAAATAATTGGTTTTCTCAGTAAACGAATGATAGTTGACTGTTTTTCTTAACTTAATTAAATGGTTAAACTACTAGTATCACATTTAGGAGGACATACATATTAGACGTGTGCAAAAATTCACAGCACTCTCATTTTTTTTTGAAAACTAGAGACAAAATACAGAATTGAAGCTCTATTTATTTTCTTTTAATAAAAAAAAAAAGAAATCTTTGCACACATCTAATGTCTGGAGGGCAGTGGAAAATTTATCGGCCCGATCAAGAAAGGATTTTAAAAATCGGCCAGATTTTGGGACGTGAATCAAGCAAATTTTGCGATGGGGACCAGGCCGAGAACTTTTCAGCATACCTTCATATATAATGCAAGAGAAAGAAAAGCAATAAATATTTTTATATCACAGAGTGGATATATATTATTCATGTATATCGTGGATTTTTTTGGCCACCTTTAATGTTTGATAATTGGCATAGCTGAATTAGAAATTGTTGAGAGCCACGATCGCACACGCCCTGAAAGGATATGACACACAGAAGAACTTAGTTCTAAAAAGTAAAGCTGATCCGTCTCCCTAATCATAAGCTGGCATTATTATGCGTGTTTCTATTGTCAAATGAGGATCTGTTATTATGTGTGTTTCTGTTGTCAAATGAGGATCTGTTATTATGTGTGTTTCTGTTGTCAAATGAGGATCGGTTATTACGTGTGTTTCTGTTGTTAAACGAGAATTTGTTATTACGTGTGTTTCTGTTGTTAAACGAGAATTTGTTATTATGTGTGTTTCTGTTGTCAAATGAGAATCTGTTATCTGAATGCTTTTTATTTTTCGTTTTATATACAATTCAAATCATGGCTGCCAAAACGTTTTTTCTTCCGAACTTAATAACAATAAATAGGGAAGAATATATAAAGTGGGTAAGAAAAACTTTGGAAAACAGAAGAAAGTTAAAATCTAATGAAAGTAACGAATGTTTAATAGAAGAAACATATTTCATTTAAAAAATTAAATTAATGATTCTATATTGAGCTTTACATACGAGACGAGGTGTAAAAATGATGTTATTGAGATCTTTCTTAAAATCTTGGATGTAATTTCTATTGAGTGTAACTAAGGATTTAGTTGACTTACTCTCTTTGAGGTTTTCATGGGAGGAATACAAAAGATTTTTAGAATTCACAGGTTAACCCCTACGGTGGCTTTTTGAGTTACAAAGATAACTGTTTTAGGTAATCTATTTTAATAAAGTAGGAAAATATTTGCCAAGCAGGAATTGTCTGTGTTCCTAAAAGCTTATGCTAAAATATTTATCAAATTAAAAAGAAATATGTTTTCTGATGTTTTATATTTTGTACGTTTACATGCAGCAATTATTTTACCCATCTGCTTACTGACCAGGCCAGATGTTGCTTAACTTCGGTTACCATACGGGATATGATTACAGAGAAAAAAAAATATATATATACAAGTGTGTGTGTGTGTGTGTCTGTGTGTGTGTCTGTGTCTGTGTGTGTTTTGTTACTCTATCAAATATATATATATATATATATATATATATATATATATATATATATATATATATATATCAGTCAGTTATGTGCTATGCATAATACACGTTTAGGCGATCATGTATCTTTTGATACATGACTGACAAACCAGATTTTTCCCAATATATATATATATATATATATATATATATATATATATATATTATATAGTCTCTGACAGAACGTTTGCCGAACGGTGAATTTTGATGTGAGTTTTGAGATTAGATTTTCTGTTGAAGGCTCGTTTGCAGATGAGACAAGAGAACGGCTTGATATTCGTGTGAATGACCTTGTGTCGGGTTAAATTACCATGCTGTCGAAATTTCCGGTGACAAAGGTCGCATTCGAATGGCTTCTCCCCAGTGTGGATCCTCTATGAAAAAAAGAAAAAAAAAGAAAAAAATGATATATAATAAAAAATATTGTTGAACAATAAATAGTTTATTGACAAGAAAATCGGTAGGAGAACTTTTGCGCAGAACACACGTCATAGGTAGGATTTTGTTAAAGTAATTCGTCAAAACCTCTATCCACACAAAAACGCAAACGGAAAAATTATAGCTGTGGTTGTGAAAAGAAAAAAGGTATGCTTCAATCGGGATGCATAAAAAAAACGGAAGGTACTATTGTAAATGAATGAGCTAATATTAGCGATGGTTCGATAAGTTCATTCAGTCTGTTAACATATATGATGGCATAAAACCACATCCCCAATTCTGTAGGAAAGATGCTAATGTTTACAGCAAGCTTACAAGAAATGCTTAAATTATAACTAAAATCATTACTGTATATAAAAATCAAGCAAGCTAGCAGTAGAGCTGAATTTACACTACTTTACACACCCACTGAACTTTGCCGAAAATTCAGATTTTCTTTAATCAATTCACCACAACCAAGGTGATAATACCACTAAGAGGCACGGGGGCTACTAAGAGTGGAAGAGAATGAATCCTAAACAGGAAACAAGGGATAATCCAC